CACAAACACACACACACACACACACACACACACACACACACACACACACACACACACACACACACACTTGCGATTTGTGATAAGAGAGTAAACAGAAGAAGGAAGCTATTTCAGTAGCTTGATAGTATAGGTAAGTGCTCACCTGCCGTCTTATGCTTTTATGAGCACACAGTGCATGTGGATTTCAGATAAATCCTAGTCACCATTTAAAAGTGAGAACTAGGGTTTATCTGTGTTTTTCATCTCTCTTGGTATATGAACCTAAAGTGGTCAAATATGAGAATAGTTCTGTATTGACTGCTTTGTTGTCTCAGTGCTTGGCAAGCCTTTTATTGAGCCAAGGGAAATCTTACGGCACACCACTAAATAGTCATCAAGTTGATACACAGATTTCCGATGAATGGGCCTTCCGCCATCGACCCTGAACCGGTCGCGATTCAGTCGCAGGGGACCATCGAGACGATTCGACAAATATTCACACCCACGTATGCAGCGTCAGCGATTGGGAACCGATCTCACGCTGCCCGAACGCAAGTCAGGCGAGTGGACCATGACACCATCAGCGACTTAATATCAGTTGATGTAAAATCAAAGGCTTGATCAATATATGGATTTGCTGCACTAATTATATTTTCCAGGCCCCAGCAAGAATTGAACTTGCGAGCCCTGGTTTACAAGGCCAGCGCTGTAACCATTGAGCTATGAGACCAGACAAAAATACAACCTGGTGCAATTTATTTTTGTCAAGCATGCATGAGTTGCCAGTTGAAATGTTGGGAATATTGATTCCGCCGGTTCTGGGTGAAGGGACTCTCTTTTCTCTGACATCATTTTTAAAAGCATACGCGACAGCCAAATGGGGAGTTCTGCGTTTGGGCCTCGTCTTTGAGGGTTTCCGCCTCTCTCAGCCAAACAAAAGACAAGCAGCCAGGAAGCGCAGCAGCCAATCAGCTGCCGCCTTACATTTTGCCAGCGTGTCGGTCCAGTCAGCGTTTGCTTTTTATGAGAGCAGCAGGCAGGGCAGCTTGTGGAGCCTGAGAGAGCGTGGCTGTGCTCGGAGCAGGCTGAGGGCTGCCAGGGCTGCCCTCCATGTTGAAATAAGCATTGACATGTCACACAGAATTGTTAGACATGCATCCACAGAGGTAAGCCCAAATTTTCATTCTTTCACTCATTTTACTCTCTTGTTCAGGCATCAGCCGTAGACGAGCTATGGCCTGAGAACTGGGTGAGGGGTGGGGGGGGGCAATGTTGTCACAACACATTCTGGAATGGGAGCTGAAAAGATGAGCCTAGCATGGTACTTGGAGCAGACTGCTGCAGCTTCTGCAGATAGGCTCTCGGTACATGACCGGCGTGGGCCCACTTGGTCAGAGTATTCGGACCCCAAAACAAGTTTGCTTCTTTCGTGGCCGGCGCTGGCTCGCGTTGTCAAGGTTGCAGGCCCGTTCAGGTCTGGAACGGGAGAGGCAGCCGCCATTTGCATAGGGGACACCCCAAAGGAATGAACGTATGGTCAAGGGACAGCACGGCCTCAAACTGGCTGGGCGTAGGACTGCCATGCGCGCACCATCGGCGATTGTGTCTCAACCAAACCTGGATGGAAATGTTACTTGCCTCATTCACACCAACTCACTTGACCACACACTCTTTCCTTTTGACACAGAAGCATGTCTTTCAACGGGCCTGATTCTCTGAGCTTCTCGCCGGTTTGAGGGTGTTGTGGTCAAGTACAAACGCTCTCCAGACGCCCGATGAATCTTATTCATCACCGCCTACGAGATACTAGCCGAAGCCCGATTGTGTGCACTGCCACCCAGCGTTCTCTGCTTCCGACCGTCAGCTATCTTCGTGAACGTCCCCTTTCCGTCCCTCCGCCCCGAGCACCCTGCCGACTTGTATGTCAGCGGGAGGAAAGAAGAAGGGCCGGATCTCCCCTGACGAGGCACTGTAGTGAAATCTCATTTCATCGGGAATTTTCCAGAACCTGTCTGCAGGGCAAACAAACGGGTTTGGCGGAATCGTGTTTCCTACGCATATTTGGCTTGCTGTTTTGCTTTCGGCGCGCAGATCAGTCCGCGTGCTTCTCCAGCTCTGTCTGCCGCTGGTTAGAATGACACGCTCTTTTGCCGGCAACTGTCAAATGATCTGGTTCGGATCCTAGGACGGACACGCTTATGTAGACTTGCCTCATGCTTGACCTGAGTTCAAGCCCACTCTCTGTTGACCGAAAGAATGACTCCACCCACCCGCTGCGGTTTCTTTTCCGCTCATGCCTTTCATTTCCCAGTGGGAAGGGCCAATTTGTATTGCGCCGCTGCTTTTCGTTTGATCTCTCTTTGTGGAGTGTCTACTCGTTGACCACTTGTGCTGCCACCGAGGGCTGGATGTGATTTAGCATGTTTGTACTTTGGCGGTGCAGTTACTGCAATGAGTGTCAATGATCCCCGTCTCCTCAGACCGACGGAGAAAATGTCAAGGCTTTCCACTTTGTGTTTTGCCCCTGACTCGGGAAACTATTTCCGCAGTGTGGCCTCGAGGCAAAAGAGAGAAAGGATGTCTTGAGACAGTGGACGGTTTTGCCTTCTGAGTGGGACCTGTGACTTTTAAGTTCTCTCCTTGTTGCGTACTGCATATTAACACCGTGGGGTCCATCGTAACCCGTAATGTGCTCCTTGTTCACCACACTCCAAGGGTGCGCCGCGCACTTGTTTTGTGCTTGCGTCGATCGCCTGGAGGGAGAGAGAAAGCCTCATCAAAACGGATGCCGTATCCCTCCGAGAGCACAGAAGCCGGTCCGCCAGCCGTCGAGCTCGTAGCGCCGCGTTTCACGCGGCCGTGGCCTTTTACGCGTTCTAACGGAGGGATTAGGGAGCGGGTATCGAAGCAATAGGGGAGAGCAGTCCTCTCTGCATTGCAGCGCTGTAGCCGAGGAGCTCCAGAAGCAAAAAAGCTGATGTGCTACATTCAGCCTAACATCCAATCGGGTCACTCGGAGTGCCGCTCAAACCAATCGGGCGCCTGCAGCCGAGGTTGAAGATCGACATTGGCAGGAGGAAGCGGCGGGGAGAGCGGGCCTTCCGCCAGACTTGGAACCATCCTGGCCCTCATTTCACAACGCCCTCTCTAATCGAAAGCAGAAAACTGGAGGAAGACTCTTTTGTGTGAGTAAGGATGGAAGGCATGCCTGTCGCTTTCATTTCATCGAAGCGTGGATGTTATGCCGGTGTGGGGCTCGGAATTGGCCGGAGCAGCATGTTACCTGATCTGGCGTTCTCTGTTTTGAGGCTGTTTCTGCCATGGAATTGCCCGTCCTGTATTTGTCCTGTGTAGCTGTCGCTTCTTGCTGTATCCCTGAACGACATGAGACGTCGGCAGCGCTCGAGAAGGCCAGAATGACTTTTCACCGCCCTCGTGACTTTCTTGGTGCATGGTCTGTGTTCATGGCTGTCACATCATCGCATCGTTCGCTGATAGGGGGAAAGGGCTGAGGAGCAAGATCTATTTCTTTCTTTTTTCTTTTTTTTTAAAGCTCTGCTCTTTTGACAGAGAGCCTGTAAAAAAACAATCGGAATGACATCACAGTGCCTACAAACCAGGCTGATGCCAGGCAGGCATTTAGACACCAGACGGTTATTTGCATTGGAAAGAAATGTTTCTTTAAGGACTGACGACGAATCCGAGATTCACTGAAGTTGTGAGTGCAACCCGTTTTCGAACTGGGGGGGGAGCGGGACCTGCTGAGAAGAGCAAAAAATCCGCCAGTCATTGATACCCGCTCCCAGAAAGTTTTATTCCGGCCCGTAGTAGGCATGCACGATGGTGGCAAAGCACTACGTTTCTGTTCGATAGGACGGTGGGAGTGATCTTATCGGCGCGGGTCTAGTGTGAGCGCGTTTCGGTTGACGGTTGACAGTCGGGATGGGGGGACCATCGGTATATGATAGCCCGTTCACTGAAGTCCCTTTTCTACACAAGCGCAGCGGAGGAGGTAAAGAAGACCGACGCTCTGACGGAGAAAATGGAAAGCTCAACGCGATCTAAAGGTGAGCATGAGTCAAGCATCATGTAAAACTTGTGAAGTCGGCGTGTTTTGATGGGCTTTATTTGAATAACTTTGTTTTAGACTTGGCATTTAGAATTATGGTCACACGTTTCTACACTGTACACTCATCATCGGCATGAATGCCGTATTTACTTTGGCCTTTTGATTATTCATTTAATTTTATTTAATTTTTTTCATCCCCGAGTGGAAATGATCCTACAGATTTTTCATTCTTGTTTTTGCATCATTCCACACTGGGGTACAAAAAAATCGAAACAACAGCACTTCAAAGAAAGGCCGTGATGAGTGTATGCGATTTCGACCGCAGAGCATAACCGCACGTGACCTTCACGAAGGCCATTACGGAACCTCATTGGATTGATCTCAAACCCTCATGTGCAACTCCAGACACGGGCTCGGCGGAGCGGACGACCCAGAAACGAAAGATGCCTAGTCCCTCTCCCTCATCAAATGGTCATTCTTCTGCCGATACCTCCCCCGGCCCGGTGAAAAAGAAGAAGAGGAAACCAGGTGCCGTTAGCAGCGGCAAAGACCAGGTGACAAACAAAATAGTATCTCTTTGGCGGGGGCCAGGGGCACCCCATCCCACCTCCCACAACCGTTGTGAAGTATTTTCAAGAATTCCAATTGAAGCTCTACGTAGCGCCGCAGATAACGGTCAGTCGGGGAGAATCGCCCGTCGAGTCGAGTGGCCCATTCTTGCATTTGATTGCGTTTTATTTTACCATCGATATGTTGCAATTGATGAATGAACGGCAAATTTTGCATTTTACTCGACTCCTCCATAAATGCCGTTCGCTACCTCCTAGGCTAGGATTTTTTTGTTGTTGCATTTTTCCCGTCAACGGTTGGCTTATTTTGCGCGAAATGTCAAACTTGACCATCCACGGATGCCCGCAGCGATGACAGCATTTGTTTGTTTGTTTGTTTTCTCTGCAGTGCACCTTTTGGTTGTGATTGTGCATCTCTGCTTGGCTTGGTTCACCTTGGCTGGATTTTGACCCGTCCCGACTTTGTGTTTCTTTTTGCCTGCGTTCCAGTCAGAACTAAGACACGGTCCCTTTTACTATGCGAAGCAGCCAGCACTCACCAGCGACCCTGTTGATGTTGTACCGCAGGACGGCAGGAACGACTTCTACTGCTGGTTGTGCCACCGCGAGGGTCAGGTGCTCTGCTGTGAGCTCTGCCCCAGGGTGTACCACGCCAAGTGCCTCAAACTACCAGACGAGCCCGAGGGCGACTGGTTCTGTCCAGAGTGCGAGGTACTCGCCGGGGAATATCTCGCGAGCGGAAGGGTGGCGGAAACCACAATTCAAAGATGCTACTTTTGCGTGTTACATTTGTCAGACATAACGAAGGGTTTTCCTCTCAATGTTGCTGTTGTTTTTTTTAATTAGAAAATAACAGTTGCCGAATGTATCGAGACTCAGAGCAAAGCCATGACGATGCTGACTATAGAGCAGCTGTCTTACCTACTCAAGTTTGCTCTTCAGAAGATGAAACAACCAGGTGTAAGTATGCCGCTGCGGCCATTTCACGCTCACTTAAAAAAGGGTTTTCCATCTACTAGCGGAGCGAGAAGCTTCGGCCCGGTGTCAAAGTTCATTTCTCCTTTTCCGATTGTTCATTCTCACCGATTTGTGAGCACTTGGGCGCGTTTTCCCTTGGCGTCGCGGGGCACGCTGACGGCAGCAAAAAAAAAAAAAAAAAAAGGTCTCGTCGGTCTCTTCACCTAAAAGCCGTCCTCTGTTGGCTCGAGCATGCGACTAAACTAATTTGCATGCGGAAAGAATCTCATCTAACACTCCCAAACGGTGAACGAGACTGGGCCTGTCAAAAGTCACCATGCAAGCCGGCATAGTGAGGATACAGCTGCCCCTCTCACTCTCTTTCAGGATCATCCCCGCTTGTCATCTCGCTCCCCCCACGCAGCTTCCACGCAGAGAAAGACTTTTAATTGGGTAATAACCAGACCACTAACAAGTCCCTGTCTTGCTTCCTTCCTTGACTGGTTGTGCTCCTTTTGTTCGATGCCGCTTTTGCGAGTGTTTCGTGCCGGCATGTGACAGTAGTGCTCATCCGCCATAGTGGGGGAAGGATTTGCAGCCACTTGGTGTGTCTCACAGGAAAAAAAAAAAAAAAACTTCTCTCTTTCCCTCCATTTGAAAGACGGAGCTCTTCCACAAACCGGTTTCTCTTGATCAGCATCCAGACTATGCCGAATACATCTTTCACCCGATGGACCTTTGCACTCTTGAGAAGGTAAAAAAGGCGTCCATGTGGTTAGATTTGAAGTATACGCGTAGATCGTGCGTTTTGCACCGTTGAACTGCTCTCACGTCCCCAAAACAAACACGGTGTTTTGCGTTTGCAACACAGAACATCCAAAAGAAAATGTATGGCTGCACAGAGGCCTTCTCGGCAGATGTGAAGTGGATTTTGCATAACTGCATCATATACAACGGAGGTGGGTTGCATATTCTAGCCCAGGGGTGCCCAACCTTTTTTTTGACCCAAGAGCTACGTTTCAAGCAACCGACCTCCCGCGATCGGCCCGCGAGCGCACGTGCACGCACGCCATGATGAGCAACGGCCTTAACGGCTCCTAACATGAACGCAGCAGAAAAAAAATTGGGGTGGCCTTCTTGTTGATTTTATTTTTTAAATACTTTTGGGCGAAAGTGAAACGGGTAGGACGCTTAGGGTACGGTGTGCACAAAATCTATGATATTAATAACAGGCAGACCGACACAAATCTCTCCCCTGCCACACCCCTCGCGATCGACTCGGGCCCAGTCCGCGCGGGCTACCGGTCGATCGCGATCGACGAATCGGGCACCCCTGTTCTAGCCTCTATAAACCAAAATGATAAGCGGACGGGTGCGTCTCGGCAAGCTAAGCCGCAGTAATATGAACAACCTTCACCAACTCGTGTAACGGTAACTGACGTGATATTTTTAGGGAACCACAAACTGACGGCCACGGCGAAAGTTATCGTCAAGATCTGTGAGCACGAGGTGAATATATGCGATCTGCGTCATTCTTTTTGTAGTGGAGATGAATTTTCAGCGACTGCTTCAGCAAGCGTCATTTTTCTCTCTTTGCAGATGAATGAGATCGAAATCTGTCCTGAGTGTTATCTGTCCGCTTGCCAAAAGAGAGACAACTGGTTCTGCGAACCGTGCGTGAGTAGGACTCGTTTGTTCGTGTTGTGATGAGTTTGCGTGCCGCCTTGCAAATGCAGATCTCCAGTTTGTCATTGTGTGTGTGACCACAGGGTAACCCTCACCCTCTGGTGTGGGCTAAATTGAAAGGTTTTCCCTTCTGGCCAGCCAAAGCTCTGCGCGACAAGGACGGACAGGTGGACGCTCGCTTCTTCGGTCAGCATGACAGGTGGCGATTTTTTGCGCTTCGCAGACTTGACTTAGCATCCGATCTTAAGCTGTGGCGTCACCAACGGGTCGGAGGATGACGTGTGTGTTCACCCCTTAGGGCTTGGGTCCCTTCAAATAATTGTTACCTCATGTCCAAAGAGATTCCCTTCTCTGTGAAGAAGACCAAAAGCATATTCAACAGCGCCATGCAGGAGATGGAAGTCTATGTGGAGAACATGAGGAAGAAGTTTGGCGTGTTTAACTACGCCCCCTTCAGGACACCCTACGCTCAGGACAACAGCTTTCAGATGCTGCGGGACCCTTCCGACCCGTCATCGGCGCCTTTCAAGCCGGAGAAGCAGGAAAAGATCAAGTTGAGCTTCGACATGACGCCATCGCCAAAGATCTCCCAGGCCAGGACCGCGTTGTCCGGGGCCGGCGTCGGGATCGCGGCAGCCCGTCGGCTGCCTCTCGCCGACGTGCCTCGTTCTCCCATGAGCACCAACTCTTCTGCGCATACGGGCTCCGATGGGGAGGACGCAACGGACAAGACCTGTCCAGACAGTCAGGGAAGTATTGGAGTGGAGCCGGCGGACTCCGCAGGTATCGTGCCCTTCATTTCAATTATGTGCCGTTACACCGGAGAACTTGGGTCCCCTGAGCTCTTATTTATCGCCAAACACCTCTGTGCAGTGTCACCGGCTCATCCTCGACCAAGTCAAGATGAACATTTAGTGGACAGCCCCAAACCTGCGCACTCGCAAGCCCCTGGCAACACCAAGCAAGAGAAGACGCATCTGACGGGAAGCATTTTGAATCTTAATCTAGGTGAATCCGTCGCGTCAGAAATAACGGGAATAATGACCTGGTGTATATTGTGATACAACCATTCAGTCATTCATTCTAGGGCTGAAACGGGTCTTTGAGTAATTCGGGTACCTCGGTTCCAAAACAAACAAAACAACAAAAAAATGCTCGAGGCAACAGAACCCGCTCATTTACATGTACACTGTCAGGGGGAAAAAGTCATGCTAACAGCGGCAACAATTTTTCATGCTTCCAACTTCAAAATAAACCTGACCAAACAATTTATGGACGTCGATGCCTTGGCAGGCGTATATTTTGAAGTTGTTCCCAGCATCGTGTCGCGACATAACGGCTGACTTGTCTCGTCTTTCAGACCGTGTTTGGAGTTTTTATTCGAAGGGGAGAGATTTATCGAAATGTGTCTTGAGTGGAAAATAGTGTGCTGCTATGCACAGTTTACATTGAACTGAAAAACGTTGATTATCGAAAAATGACAGTTTGTCATTTATTAAGTAAACGTGTTTCTTTTGTCTTCTGTATCTTTAAACAAGCAATTTTAAAACAAATCAGAATATCCAATTATTGGATAGAATTTTCCATAGGATACCAAAATATTGGATCGCTGCAGCCCCAATTGATTCTCGTCGTTTTGTTCCAGATCGGAGTAAAGCTGAAATGGACCTCAAGGAACTCAGTGAAACGGTTCTGCAGAAGCTGGGCGCCGCCCCCGTTCTCACCTCTCCAAAAAGGCAGATCAAGAGCCGTTTCCAGATGAATTTGGACAAAACCATTGAAAGCTGTAAAGCGCAGCTCGGTCAGTCAAAATTTCCTGGCAGACGTTGATATCGTACGCTTGTTTTGCAATTGTGCTGTGTTTCTGCCTTGGGCCCACCAATGCTTTGGGCAGGTATCAACGAGATCTCTTCTGAGGTGTACAAAGGTGTGGAACACAGCGACTCTGAGGACTCCGAGGCTAAATCTGACTCTAGCGACAGCGAGTATGCCAGTGATGAAGGAGCAAAGGTCGAAGATTCTCAAGACAGCGCACCCACTGAGGAACCCCGAAACGAGAGTAGAGACCAAGACCGGTCATCTCCGGCCCAAGCGAGCAAAGCCGATCCGCCGGCGGCGGCGGATGTTAGCGCGATGCCGTCGGCGATGCCGGCTCAAGAAAAGATTCCAGAGAAAGAAAGTCCAGAGAAGACCGGCCCCCCCGCACCATTGCCTGTGTCTCAGGAGAAGGGACAGGTAAAAGAAGATACAAAGCAAAACGCCCCTGCGGACGATTCAGACTCCGAGGGGCAGCTGGTGATTGACCTTGGGGAGGAGCAGGCCAAGAGGGACAAGAAGGGGCGCAAAAAAGACAGCGCCAACGCCAAAGAGCCGTCCGCCGCTAAGCCTGAAGGTGAGATTTTACGACTCGGTGAGTGTGACTTGAGGTGGAATTTTTTTTTTAAAACAAGCACGCTATTTCTTCCCAAAGGCAAATCTCTGACGCCTCCGACATTCCCATCTCAAAACAGCACAACCCCCTCCACACCCTCCAGTGTTGCCTCGCAGTCCCCCCTGGCCATTCCCGTCACCGTGACGTCCCTCGCCGCGCCGTCCGCCGCAAACGTTAGCCTCGCCACTGTCTCCGCTGCCCCCGCCACTCCACCCTGTTCGTCCTCATCCGCAGCCTCCGCCACCCCGGGACTGAAGAAACAGCGCCCTCTGTTGCCTCGAGAGCCGCTGGCGGGAGCGCAGAGCGCCGCCAAGCTCCAGAACCCCTCGCCAAAATGGCACGCGTGTCAGCAGCGGGGCCAGCAGCCTTTGGCAGCTGCGCAAATTCAAGCGGCCTTGCCCAGACGGGGCGCGACCCAGGCGTCTGACGCCGGCGCGGCGTCAGTCTCGTCCTCTTCAGCGCAACAGTCTTCGCAAAGCGCACGCTATCAGACCAGACAGTCGATTAAAGGTAGCAAAGCATACAACTGTCACCGCCAATCTCGGAATCGTTTCAGTAATTTGGGTCTGTTTGCCGTTGAGCACATCAGCTGTCCCCCTGGTGTCCGGCTGTCCGCCGTCAGCGTCGGGGTTCGACACGTCGTCTGCATCCTCATCCATGGAAACGGAGGGGTCCATTTCGACGGCGTCAGCAGACGTTGCTGCAGATATCGCCAAGTATACCGACAAAGTAAGCATTTTTCCAACGAACTGTTGATCTTCATGCGATCGAAACTTTATTCCGGCGCAGAATCTTGATTTCACGTGGCACGAGAATGGGAGCGGCTTATTTCTGTGACAGGTAATGGACGCAATCAAAGGCACGGTGACTGAAATCTACAGCGACCTCTCCAAGAGCACTCCGGGGAACACCATTGCTGAGGTATCCTTTTGCACAGCTCCTCACACATGTTTTTACATAGACAGTACCCTTTCGCTTAGTGTTTTGTCTTTTTGTTTGGATGTTGTTGTTGTTGTTGGGTTTTTAAATTTTTTTTTAGATGAAGCGGCTTCGAATTGAAATTGAAAAACTACAGTGGTTACATCAGCAAGAGTTGTCGGAGATGAAGCACAATCTGGGTGAGGGCTTCTTTCACCAGCTAAATACAAAGTATAAACTCCACTCAACATCCATAAATCACACCAAACCTAAAACACAAATCAATCCCATCTCATCAAGCCACACGTTCCCCCAATCAGGGTCATGTGATGCATTTCGTGAACGTGAATTGAAATTTTAGAGCTCACGATGGCCGAGATGCGGCAGAGTCTGGAGCAGGAACAAGAGCGCTTAGTTGCGGAGGCCAAGAAACAGATGGAGCTGGAGAAGCAGCAAGGAGTGGATGAAACCAAGAAGAAGCAGTGGTGCGCCAGCTGCAGGAAAGAGGCCATATTTTATTGCTGCTGGAACACCAGCTACTGCGATTACCCGTGTCAGCAGGCCCACTGGCCAGAACACATGAAGTCCTGCACCCAGTCAGGTAAAAGCGGCGCTCGCGCTCCACCTAAGGGACTCGCCGCCACTTATCTGCTTCCAAACGCCGCTGTGTCTGCAGCCGCAGCTCCCCAGCAAGAAGCCGAGGCGGAGCCGGCGGCGGACTTGTCAAACAAAGGAGCGGGACAGGCGACCTGTGGACCAAACGCTCTCCGAGAAGCACCGCTATCCGCTTCATCGAATACAGACCGCGAAACGGAGAGCTGCGGTGACAGCGCTGCTGTCGCCTCATCCCAACTGGGCGCGACTTGACATTGTTGCCGCAGTTTGTTTGTTTTTTTTCCCCCCTATGTATACGATGATACCGTATGTTGTATAGAATGCCCTGTGGCTGTGGCCAAAGTCTTTTTTTGTATTTATTTGTTGGTGGCTGCCCGTGTACAGTGTTCTTTTCCTACGTTTTGAATGTTAAAACAAGACTGTCGGCAGTTGCTCCTGATGAGGAGGGGCACGACCTGCAGTATCCGCACGCTTGCCGACCAGCACGCACCTCTCTAAAAGAAACTCTTCAACAGTTACGCAACCTCTTTTGGAAGCGCACTACGGACAAATGCGTCTGAAGAGTTCATGTGCAATGATGCCCGTTTCCGTTTGGATTTGTTGAGATGCCCGCTGCGTAGCGCACGATGACGAGGAGGAGACGTTTTCTTCTTCCCCAAGTAGACTGCACTGAATTGGTTATTCAAAAATGTTCTTTGGCTATCGTGTCACCCTATCGCAAAGTCCTCCTTGGTTATCTTTGGTCCGAGTGCTTTGGCCCCGATGGAAAATTGCGTCCGGGAAAAGGTAAAGCTGCCAACTGCCAACTTCGCCTTTTGCAATGTCATATTGTCTGCTTGCTCTCGGAAAGTTTGTGCACTGGGAGAATTTCCGCGCTAGCGGTAACTGGATCGAGATCCCCATCGAAAGCTCGATCGCGACATCCCGTCAAGCGGACATCGGATACGGATTATTACATACTGACCTGACATAGAAATGCCTTTCCAAAGATTCCCGCCTTCTGGAGGTGATTTTTGGGGGTTTCATAACTTAGTATGCAGCGGCAAGTTTCTTGCCTGCCTCCATTTGTGCTACTCAACGACCTCAACTCGGAAAAACAAGTTCCACTGCCAGCGACCAGCAAAAAGGTAGAAACGGTGGCACTTTATTTATTTTCTACATCATTTGGCTGACTTTTTTTTTTTACGTTTCCGCATGTGTACCTGAAGAGCACATTGACAATAAACAGGGCAGACGGATTGACGTCGACCCAATGCTCACGCCTAAGTATTTAATTGCATTTGAACACACCCACCGTCTCGGCATTCAAAGACACCAGCGTGGTTTAATACTTTAAGGACCCGCCTTTGTTTGTTTGGCCATTTGTTCTAAGTGGTAGAAAACAGAAACCGCTAAGTATTTCTTTCTATACAGTCACTGATATCAACGAGTACACAGATGAGCAAGTAGAAAAAAATAAAATAAAAATCAGAGGGCATCACCAGTGGGTGGCTGATGTTTTCTTCCCCCTCGCTGCCGGCTCACTGATTGTTTACACCCAAAGTTCTCTTAGGACTGGCCGTCGGGCGGTGGGGGTCCTCAGAACTGTGGAAAAGAAGGCAAACCCGGGTCACCTGACGACTTCCGTCTGTTGAAACGCAACGTTCACCGAATGGCGGCGCGCGCTGACAAAGCCAAGCAAGCCCGAACACCGAGTGAACAATCAAGCACAGGGGGAAAGGCATTCTTCCTCTCGCTTACGTTCTTGAGGAACTCCTCTGCGACGATACGGGCTCTGGCGTTAACGGACAGCTTCATCTCGCTGATCTCCTTGTCGATCTCCTCCATGAAATGGATGACAAAGTCCACCAGCTTGTGCTTGTACATCTGCTCCGTGTGGAAGTTGGTGATCAAGAAGCTTATATCGTAGCCCTGCATGAAAAATTTGCACGTGTCAATTGGAACACGGTGCACAGGAAATTCTTTTATCGACAATCACCATACCGGGCAATTGGGCCACCCGCAACCTTTTGCTTACCTCGACTGGCTTCCTCCTCAGAATGAAGAAGTTCTCTGCCCTCATCATCATAAAGCGCATGAACTTGTGGCAAAGGATTTTCTCGATCTCGTCAGCCTGAGGTGGCAGACAAGGCACCGTTGTTTTAAGGTTGGACATTACACAGAAAAACAACGAAGTGATTTTGACAGGAGAACCTCCAAAAGTCAAACATGAGCCACTATTCCTCTCTACTTGCATGATTTATTTATTTATTTTTAATCAATCAGGATTTTGGAGCCAATCAGGGAGTTAAAAAAAAAACAACAGATAACCGATCGCAATCAACCCGATCTATTTAAACAAATTGTTTATTTACTGTCCAGTCCACGTCAGCTTTTAGCGGGGGAGTGAAACTAGGTCGGCATACCAAGAGCCAACATTTGCAGATAAATTTTGACGACAGAATAAGAGACATTTTTAAGACATGTGGGAACAGCTTGAGGTTCTAAAATAGAAAAAGTACAAGACGTCTCCTTGGATGTCAGTGAAATCTAAAGGTTCCACTGGACGGCTTTGAAAAAGCCGATTACCTGTTTGACAGCTATGCTGACCCTGACAGAGTTGATGGACCCTTCGATTAGAACCTTCTCCTTGTCATTGCGGCTGATCACAACAGCCTGAAGCAGCAGCTCCTTATTGCTCCTGTGAAACACAACCATCCGTCTGACATTTAACGCTGGCATTAACTAAAAGGTGAAAGCAGATAGTATATCTCAAATGATCCCAAATGAAAATATGTCCAATTCCCGGGCCTCTCGTTCACACGGTGACGCTTGCAGAGTGGCTGCAGCAAGCCAGTTTCACCCCTTGCATGTACCGCGAGCATTTTTTCGCCCTCGAAGATTGCCTTGTGCGAGTTTGCACAAGTTCAGACTTGTGTGGAAGTGGCAATCCTCCGCAAAGCAGAGTAGCATACCTGACTTCCACCTCGGGCTTGTTGTGACGCTCCACCACCTGAGAGGAGAAGTTCTCCAGACACAAGGCCGCCTGCAGGGTGGCCCTCACAGCGTTTAAGTAGGGACGCAGCGTCGCTGTCTGATGACAATTTGGACAAAGTCAGTGCTTGTATGTTTTGCACAAAAATGGGAAAAAAGTCATAAAAACATCCGGATCCGGGGAGAGAAGCAAGCTAAGAGTAAAAGAGATGATCAGTATTGAGGGACCCGTCTCATAACCATTTGGATCCACATAATGATTTAAATGTTCACGATTGCCAATGCTTTGAACGTGATGCTTCAAGATGGATGTTGACTCTGGTCATAATTTTTACCGACGCGCTTGATAAATTTTAACACAGCATTCACAGCTATCGAGGGGGAAATGAAGCTCGAAGAGAAAAATGTCATCGATGCAACCCACTTTGATACGAAAACCGCATTTTAACAGAAACAGGAAAATAGCATGGTAACTGTGGGTGTAGTCTGCTGCTGCCAAATAACGCACGACTATAAATTAACTATAAATTAATAAGTAGAGACAGTTGAAGAGAAGCCTTACCATTTTTGCGCTGGAAAAGACGGAAGTTTCTAAGCCACGCCTAGGACTACCGCTTCCGTAAACCCTACATACTGCAGAAACAAAACGGACGCGCTTGTTTTGAATGGTTTTATATGAGAACGTGGATTTCGCTACGCTATATGTATTTCTACGACTAGCCTCTTTATTCCGCCCGTTTTGTGTAGACGTTAAGTTAAAACGAGCACTCCTCAACGACGAGTCCATTCGGCTGCGTGTATAGGGAACATTTGTTTTGTGGTGGTGGTGTTTTTTTTGTTTTGCAGAAAAAAGTATTTAAAAGAATAAAAGTTGAAGCAAATTTCAATCATTTAACAGTAACTTTGAACTACTAGAGTCAACTGTGGGAGAGGACCTTTGTGAATAATTTTCACCCACATCATAACACAGTATAGTTTGATCCAACGCTATCAAAAAATGCAGCGCCGATGTATGAAATACAATGGTCAGAAAACTGGACAACATTGGATCAGTCTATTAATTTATCGTAGTTCTTTTTTTATCGTCTTGAGTACAGTCTGAAAATTGTGACTGTCTCGTAATATCAGCGAATATGACAGTTTTACCCCCCTCTTCACTTAATGGAGTTTTCCATCATGGACGCCATTCGCTGACGGTAAGTATCGTTCTCCGTAAAATTTCACCGATAATTATAGATTTTATCTACCCTTTCTTCTTCAAGAATTCAGATACCGCCACTGCATAAAGTATGTAAGCGTTACCGTGAACATTTTGTGATTTTTTTTCATACATAAATATAAAAATATCTATTTATATTCTCAAGACTATTCACGATCTGGGCCTTGCGGGTTAGCAATGTATGAACCAAAACTGCAGTGTGAGGGCGAAAAACGAACATTGCTCAAATACAACTATAATACTAAATACAAAATATCTGACACAATTTAAACGTTTCTCGATTAAAAAAAATCCCTCCTGCGCTTCAGTTTCTGCTACCGTAGTCAGGTACCCGGCATCATGAGTGAGCTGAAGGACTGCCCCCCTTTGAAGTATTATGACTTCAAGCCTGTGGAGCACGTCAAGGTGTGTCCTCGCTACACGGCCGTGCTGGGACGCTCGGAGGACGATGGGATCGGCATCGAAGAGCTGGACACTTTGCAGCTGGAGCTGGAGACCCTCCTGTCCTCGGCCAACCGTCGCCTCAGAGCTCTGGAGGAGCAGAGACAGGTGGGGAAACAGAAGAGAGTCATTCATCCATCCATTTCCCACTTATTCTGGTCAGGATCCTCGGGAGTTTGCCACTACACCATCAGTGACTGAGAATAATTCCATTTCGATGGATTTAAATAGTGCCATCGCAACAGCACTCACACATACACAACACACAACAGAGAAAATTCAAGAGCAGCAACACGGTGTGGCGAGGCTGTCTGCCTTGACTCATTGGGTTGTGGGAGAGTCGGGCAAGCAGTGTTGAGAGAGAGACCGCAGCTAGGATAGAGAAGCAATGTGTCCTGTTTTAAATGTGTTGGCAACAATAATGTTACGGTGAACATTAATATTAATGCCGCTAGATTTTGTCTTGCCTTGCAGATCCTCACAGACTGGCAGGACAAGAAGGGAGACAAGCGCTTTGTAAAGATGGGAAAAGACCCTGACCCTGCCGCGTCAGCACGCCACAAGCCAAAGAAGCAGAAGTTAGATGGCAAAAGTAGTCACGGCCCAGGGCCAGGTCCCGGGAGACCGAAATCCAAAAACCTGCAACCCAAAGGCCAAGAATATGAATTTACAGATGATCCTCAAGACATTCCTCGCACTCCGAAGAACGACGTCCCCAACAGGTCAGCAATAATCTTCAGCGTTATGCAGGAGCTTCTTTTAAAAATGCAAATGTAATTTATTTCAGTAAATCAGTGAAAAAAAAAAAGAAATTGGTTACATAGATTGGCTACAAATCGAGGAACGTATTTTATGGTTTCTTTGTAATATACCGAAATCCAACATTCACCATCTTCAGAAATTAGAATATGAAACAAACAAAATGACTTTTGACATGCGGTAGGAATCACACTGAGGAAAAGCGTTGGATGAATCGCTCACATAAATGTTTTACGTTTTCAATTGAGGCTCCGGAATTTGACGTGGAACTTTTCAAACATATTCAAATTAGTCAAATTAGTTGTGGCGCACCCACAATGTTTTCTGGTGCTTCTCCAAAGAAATTGTTTTTCCATGTACTGTAAAATAGTCAACCCCGGCGATAGACAGGACAGCGTCCAAAATGATCTGTGTAATTGGGTCTTCAGTTGGCATCGTTTGTCTTTTCAGATTTTGGGCCTCCGTTGAGCCGTACTGCGCCGACATCACAAATGAGGAGATTCGGTTGCTCGAGGAGCTTCTGAAACCACCAGACGATGAAGCCGAGTACTTTAAAGTGAGTCGTCCGTCGAGCTTTTGTCGAAATGCGTTTTACGTCAAGAGCCGTGGGCTGAATTTTGGTGCCGTCTGTGGGAACGGAAGATTCCAGCGTTGGGGAAACACTACTCGCAGCGCTGGGCTCAGGAGGATCTGCTGGAGGAGCAGAAAGAAGGAGCACGGGCCAACGACAAGAAGAAGAGTCTCTTGGGCGGGCCGCTGTCCGAGCTCGATGCAAAAGGTCAGGCAATACTGCAGCCAGGCCCTGCGGAAAGAGCCGTTCCCGCTCCTGCGTCTCACGGGAAGTAGTGGATGATGATAGGGAGGAGGTGGAGAGGTTATGCCCAAATTGCACCGAAGCAAAATGTGAAATGCCGTTGAGCTGATGCCTCTCCAAATGGAGCAAACTGTCTCCGTCGTGTCACTTAGTCAATGCAATGCAAAGCCACCAAAAGATGTTTGATACCTGTGAGAAAATTGGTCAACAGTAAAAGGTACACAACTCTAAAACATTACAGGCAGGGTTCATTTTTTCTGTTTTCAAACAGTCTTGTAATATATTTGTCCTAAAAAAAGTGGTAAAAAGGCACTGTGAAATGTTGATGAATGGACATTCTGCACAACAGCAACGAGCCTTTTTCTTTTGGATTCGAACCGTTGGCGTGCCTCGCCCCCGTCGCATTTGCGCAATGTCCGCGATGCAAAAGAGGTGCGCAGAGTGTGACGTCATGATGCGCTCGGCTGATGTGTACTAGATGTGGACTCTTTGCTGAAGAAGTCCGAGTCGCAGCACGAGTCTCCGGACGACGGCTGTCCCTTCGGCCCGCTCACTCAGCGTCTCCTTCAGGCTCTCGTGGAGGTAATTCCACCGCGGGCCGCGAATGTTTTGGAGAAACGGTTTCCCCGGACCGCGCCGGTTAATCATGCGCGGCTTTCGGTGGCGCGGTACACGCTTGAGCTTCAACGAGGATGTCATCTCTGTTGCATTCAGGAGAATATTATATCCCCCATGGAGGATTCTCCTATACCGGACATTTCAGGGAAGGACGGCAATGATGGAGCCGGGACGTCTCCTCGAAGCCAAGGCAAATCTTTTAGGTAGGTCTGGGATAGCCGACAAGCTAACGATCGGGGTCACCCGCCACCACAAATCAAAGTATTGCCCACTGTGGGTGCATCCAAAGGAATGAATGAGGCCCGTTGACTCTGCCCTTTCAGCGCCCCTCACACACGTTCCCTGGAGGCTCGGATCAAGGAGGAGCTGATTGCCCAGGGACTCCTGGACTCCGAGGAGCGACCCGGTCCGGGCGGAGACTGCGAGGATGAGGTGCTGGTGGAGCTCCAGAAGAGACAGGCGGAGCTCAAAGCGCTGATTGCTCACAACAAAACCCGCAAGCAGGAGCTGCTCAGGTGAGCCTCTTCCGAAGGTGCCCCGCAAAGTCACCCGCGTGTCGGTTGCGAGGTCCCGGCAGCCACCTTGCCCTTGTTTCTCCTCCTCAGGTTGGCGAAAGAGGAGATGCGCAAGCAGGAGCTGAGGCAGAGAGTCAGGGTGTCTGACAACGAGGTGATGGAGGGATTTCGGCGAATCATGGCAGCCAGACAGAAGAAGCGCACTCCGACCAAGAAGGAGAAAGACCAGGCATGGAAAGCTCTGAAGGAGCGGGAAAGCATCCTCAAGTTGCTGGATGGCTGAACGAACCAATGAATGAACGAACGAAGGAAAGACATATGTTAAAAAGTGCGTGAGGAAGAATTTTGGACTATACTCACACACCGCTGCAGGTGCAACTTCAAAAGATGGAGCTCCCTACAGGTGGCATTTGAGGCAGGGTGTTTCTCTTGTCCTTTCTCAGTGGTTGGTATCCACCACACCTTGATCTTGTTTTGTTCCAGTTGTCGGGATGATTTTTCTATGGCCTCTTATCGGTGTTTGTATAGATGACGACCAATTAAAAGCTGTTGTTGTAATGAAACGGATTCTTGTTGTGTTCGCCCCCCGCCCTCCTTAAAATTCAGATTCAAGCCCTGAAAAGGTGACCAGCATCACTGAGTTTTTGGTGTGCAAACCCGCCACGCCACACCCGGCCTCAGAACCGCCCGTACTGGTCATGGGACCACAAATTCCTGCATGGCGGCAACCCGGGGAAGGAGGGAGGACAGTCTCTTTCAGGTCATGAGACTTTCCCTCAATGTAGGAGTGGTAAAGAAAAATATGTCACCTGAAACTTAAGTATTGAACTGGTATCTCAAACATTTTGTAGAACACGTAAGCAAGGTTGAAAGAGCCGTCAACTTGGAAAGTACCGCGTTTCACAACACCGGGATGGATTTCCCTGAAATGCCGCTAGATGGCAGTCCAACCTTGTTTGATTTTACCAGGTGGCCACGCAAATCGGTATAAAATACCGGACGCAGTAAACTTGCCTACGTTAGGCCCGTCAAAAAAAGTCAGAATTATAACAAATATGTTGATGAAAAACACCCGTAGTCTGTCAATATGAAATAAAAGCACCGCCCGCGTGACGATGGGTTTTCATCCGTTCTGACTTCGAAACGTCGTATGTCGGTCCGGTCGTAACTCTTCCACCGATTGTCTTCATTTCCACAGCTCATCCATTTAGACTTAAGTCTTGTGGGGGCTACAGAGGAGATCATCTTGTAAGTTCCCCACCACCGCCACCATTAATGTGACCTAGAATCTGTACAAATACAATAAAAAAAAGTATTTAAAGGGAGGTA